TAATGCATACAAAACCAAGCAAACATTTTATTTGTGTCCCGGTTCTAAGTCTAAGCGATTGTGCAGAAGAAATTTATAATATTTTAATTCATGTTAAAGTCTTTAACTTATTAGTAACATACATTTCCTTTATAAAAACAATCTTTATTCATTATTAATTTTTACTGTTTAAAAAACAGAACTCATGAGACCTTTAAAATGTTGATGCGATTAGGGCAATTACCATAAGTAACTACAAGCTAGTTTCCTGAGAGATGAAAATACGGAAGTAATAAAAAAAAAAGATTTTTATTTTATTATAGAGAAGATATCAAGTTTGTCTAGATTAAGGAAACTACGCTTTGAACAGGCTCGCTATTCAGACGTTTCAAGAATCTTGCCTCTGGCACTGTTAGATGAATTTAGGACTAAAATCTTCTAAGTGGGCCGAACCTACTGAGATGTTATTGGGATTACCGTGAAAATGTTATTAGTAGCCAACATATTCAACTAAAGATTCAATGCATTCTAATAATCATATATATATATATTAGTTTCCTTCTGTATTCATTTATAATATTAAGCAAATTAAACAGATCATAAGATTCCCATACTATACTTTTGATGAGTGTTTTATTGAATTTTTAACTTTCTTTCTCTGAGAGGGTGTGGTTTAATGGTTAGCGTACCCATACTGTGTATTCGATGGTTCATAGTTTGTGTCCCGTTGCTGCACAAACGCGCTCTGTAGTATGGTTTGTTTGTTTGAAGCTAAGCACAGAGCTACACAACGGGCTATCTGTGCTCTGCCCACCACGAGTATCGAAACTCGGTTTCTAGCGTTGTAAGTTCGCAGACATACCATTGTACCAGTGGGGGACTTGCACTATGGAGCCGTGGCTTTGCTATAAGTGACAGTCAAATTCCATTATTCGGTCAGGCAAGAGTAGCCCAAGAGTTGGCGTGAGGTGTCGTTAATAATTACTTTTCCTCTAGTGTTGGGATTAAAGTCTGAACGGAAAACAAAGTATCAGTTCAAATAGCTCTTGTGTAGCTTGCGGGAATATATTAATATACCACTATTATTATTCTCACTCAGGTGCTATAATTTATCACAATATATCCGAATATAGAGAAGACAATTTGCTGCCTAATACAATAACATTTATTAAGAAGAATATTTATGTCTAACTTTTTGAAGTATATTTTGATAATTCCCAGGAGAGGAGGATTGTATACTGTTGCATTATTTTCAGTTTGTCTTTTGTTTGTAATTAAGTACAAAGTAATACAAAGCTCTGCCCATCTCGGGTATCGAAACTCGGTTTTTAGCGTTCTAAGTCCACAGACATACCGCTGTGCCAATGGGGGGCAGTGGCTTTGTGATAACCATCAATTTTTGTTCTTGCTTGATGCGTACTACTACGCTTAATAAGTATAGAAACGTTTCGTGGATTAGTAAGCTATTAAGACCTGATGTGCAAACAAATGGTGTTGTTAGGTGTGTTAAGTGATGTATAATAGTAATGCCCTATTCTGTTTTTTTTATAATCAATTTCATTAAATCTTATTGATTATGTGATAAAATACATTTCAGTATTTTTTGAATTTATATTATAGCCCTCCCTAATTCAGCAGTGTAGGACTAGAGGGAAGGCAGCACCACCCACCGCCAACTCTTGGGCTACTCTTTTACCAACGAATAGTGGGATTGACCATCACATTATAACGCCCCCACGGCTAAAAGGGCGAGCATGTTTGGTGTGATAGGGATTCGAATCCGCTACCCTCAGATTGCGAGTCGAGTGCCTTAACCACCTGGCCATGCCGGGCCACTGCAAGTTAGAAACATAACAAGAATATGGAAGTCAAAATTCAGTCAATAATCTGTAGATTCCATAAGTAACGTGACAAAGTCGCAGGCTTTTTTTGTTCTTGTTTGTAATATCATGTCAAGGTAATCATAGAAATACTTGTTATAGATCAAGAGGCTACTAAATTACGATCATTAAACTCTTCCAAGTGACTTCAGAAAACTATTATTTTCACTTAGTCATATGGATGCTCTATACTGAATGGAACCTTTTATGCCAGTGGGCTCTAGATCAGCAGTTCTGAAACTGTGTATGGCTCATTACCTCAAGGTAGACCGCAAATACTTTTCAAGGAGGTCACCAATACTTGCGTAATTTTAAGATATCACTTTTGATTCTTAAGATATTACTTTTGTTAATGGTACCTTTTAAAACATGTGTTCTTTATCAATGATAACATTTCTGAAATAACACGGGCAGTGTATCCATGTAGTAATGTTTGTTGCTCGAAGAGGTTGCAGTGCAACGAAGTTTGAGAACCGATGCTCTAGAGTCTAGATTATAAAACTTGCATAGCTGTGTGAGATATACACCATAGAACTGAAAACAAACGTATAATCCAGAGCTACTACTTATAAAATAAATTATTGTCCACATCTTTTATTACTAAGAGATTCAGCGTTCATAAATCACATATGCCTGCCACGGTTTTATTGTGCTTGAAATTTTTACATGTTCTACGGTAATTCATGTACGCTGAATCCGAAAACGATATCCATTTTGTTCCATCACGTAGAGATTTTTCACAAAACGTCATAACGCAACTCATAAAAGAAAGACCGCAACACGTAGTTTTGAGACTAAAACACGTAGATTTCACACACACACACACACACACACAAAATCAGGATGAATGAGGATGCTTATTCGTTTGATATCAATGTTCTTCCCTTTTCTTCAATTTCTTTATATTTTTGTTAACAAACATAATAATAAAAAAATGTTCATCGTGGTAAACGAAATAATAATTTGATCTAAGTAAGAGTTTTTTCTTCCCGATTTATAAAAAGAATTCTTACGTGATAGAAAAAAATGTATATTATTTTCGAAATCTGAGTAGCTGAATTATGGAAAATCCATTATTAAAACCAAAATAACTTTTATGAAGTTTAAATTCGAAGGCCTGCGTAATCTATCAACTTTACTTGTAGAAATATTTACAATGTGGATATATTATGATTTTAATTGAATCATTCAATGCATAAATTTGAGTTGCTCCTTCTAGTGTCAGTTGAAACTAAAACTGTTTGAAACTGAATTATACTATTCTAAACCTGCACAGTAAGGTTAACATCGCTACAGACATAAAGCTAGCGACGGTTTCCTTAAGGTTTTTATTAAATAGAATTTTATCATTGATAAACACATTGAAGTTAGTGTGTAAAGACCATCTTTAACTTATACCATCATATACCATTCCGTCTTTCTTTATATTTAATTTCCTCAAATCTTATTGGCTATGTGAAAAAATAATTTTTAATATTTTTAAGTTATATTTTAACGCATTAGAAAATTATTATATTATACACGTTTAGCTTCATATATGTATTTAGGACTGGCTTACACCTTTTGTGTTGGCCAAATCTTAAAAAGTATCAATAGGATTACCTCTGAAAATATCAATATTAGCGTGAGTATACAACTGTTGTACATGATAATGTTTCGCAGTTAGAGACGAAACGTTGCACAGAAATAAATCTGTTATCTACAAATAACTCTTTCAAAACTTCATATTGTTCGTAAGTTAAGTGTGTACCTCTTAAAAAAGCAAATAGTAAAATTTCATAGTTACTGTTAACAGTGCTGTAGTGTTAGGACAGATTTCACTGAATATATATATTATTAACTTACTATTTCCGCACTTTGGAACAATTGATGTGCTATAAAGTGACAGTCAAATCCTACTATGTAATCAGCTAAAATCAGCCAAACAGTTCTCGGTGGGTGCTCTTGATTAACTGTCTTTCCTCTAGTCTGTCAGTTCAAAATTAGCTTTGTGTGCGAATATTCGAATAAAACAAATAATCTAGTGTCATGGCTTTGTTCTTCTCCCCCCCCCCCACACGATTCGACTTATAACGCTAAAATCAGGTTTCGATACCCGCGGTTAGCAGATCACAAATATCTCATTGTGTAACTTTGGGCTTAACAACAAAGCCTTTGTTCTAAGAAAGAACCCCTATAGTTTTCCTTAATAATATTTCGCTGGCTACCTTATTGAAATGGCCATAATGTTTTCTGTATTGTTACCAATAATTTTTAATACTGCGTGTAATTTTTTGCGGTGGGAATCTGTCACATTTTACAGCTATCATAATTTACAGGTTTAATTTCGCCGAATTTTGTGTGAAATAGTATGACAGCGTCTGCAACGGTGCTTTTTTTTAGCTATCATAACACCTGCTATATTTTATTCCTGCTAGTTTTTGAATTATCATCATACGCATTACATTCACTATTCACTGCACTCATTTAGACTATACGTATGCAACTGGAAAGTCATAAAACTTATATTTATACCTATCAAATAAATATAACTTTTTTTTAAAGTTAGCCTTATTCGAAATCATAGAAGACAGAAATATGTAATAAGTAATATTGTAGACGTAGTTATTGTAAAGAGCTATATGATGACTATCAGTTGTATAAGCACTGTTACTTTTCTTCTTCTAATTGGTATCATTTATGTAAGGAGATTCACACTCGGAAGGTTTAGTTTGTTTGTAGTTAAGGACAAAACTACACAATGAACTATTTGTCTTTTGCCCACTATCGGTATCGAAACCCGTTTTTTAGCGTTATAAATCCGCAGACCAGCCGCTGTGTTAATAGGAGGCTCTGTAAAAGACAAGGTACTCTAGCCAGAGAACTGACTAGTAATGAACAATTAACGTACAAGCAACTCTAGCGAGAGAACTGACCAGAAATGAACAACTGAGATATAAAGCCACACACGAACTGTTTAATACCGCACTAAGCCGGCATATTACCTGCTTCTCAGCTGGAGTTTTCAGGTAAGTAGAAGCGGGCCTCATCTGAAACGTTGACACATGCCTGCCACCGCATCAGAAGTTAGCTTGTAGGCCTTTTTTTTTCTCCACCAGTGGACAGAGGTGCGGACACTAACGGCCAAACGGTTAGTGTCGCTAAGTTTCATGTCGAATCGTCACCTGGACACTTTTCATTATCAACCAATCAGCGAGCAGTGACAATAAGGTACCAGGTCCTCGTGACTCTGTGCTTCACGCTGGTTCTATTTTCTATTAATTTCATCTGAGAAGATTGGAGTTTGGCGGATGTGACAAATAACCTTCGTTAACCGATCAGAATTTCGTTTCGTTTTGTTTTTTTCTAATCGTTTGATATTGGTATCCACTACACAAATCCCAATACTGGTTTCGTTCGGCAGATCATAACAAGGACGCAGCCAAAGTGTTTCTGCAATATTATAGTTAGCTGCTGAGATGAAGTTTGAAGTAGATGATGGTTACAAGAAGTTAGCGATATCATTTCTCATTCTAACTATCTTCCTGTCCACCCCAGCGTCAGGAACTTGGTGGTAAGTTACACGAAGCAGGTGTTGTTGTTTTTTTTTTTACAATTACGTCTTTTCTCTACAAGATTCCTATTTCGCTTATAACTAGAAATGTATTTTAACACTACAAAATCTTTCAAAGAACATTATCTAAAGAAAATTGTTTTGTTTAGCCAAAGGAGTAACGCAATGTTTTAGAGGCCTAGCAAGAAGCTGAACGTGCCGCAAATATCAATGTGACTATCATAACCTTAAAGTACGATCCAGAAACGTATTCAGAAATCTATAAAGAGGCGCTACTTTTGAAGGAAGAAAAAAAGAAATTAGTAGGGAAGCCTTATTGGGGGGTCTGGTGGCATACCCAATCAGATACGTTTTATCATTTTGACTGAAAATGGTGTATCTTAGGGTATCTGAGAATGGGAAATTTTGCACCTTTTAAATATGTTTTATACATATATAAAGGAGCAATTTAGTGGGTGTGATTGCACCCGTCGCACTTCCTTCCCTCTCCTGCCTACACAATATGCAAATTAACTAGTTTAAAGTGGCATTATGAAAATACTGACACACAGGTCATTAGAGATTTTTGTCTGCGACTGGAAATAAAATAATGGAAATTAACAAAAACAAAAGTGTTTAACACATGATAAAAAGGATTTTTGAGGTTATTTTATAGCATGTGAAACATGCTGTATGTGTTTTGTATAAGTAGATTTGTTTTTTTTTTCTCTATCAGCGTGATACAAAACAATTAGAACATGATAGACTAGTCAAGAAGAAAGCTAACATGTCTCATATTGCTAACAGATTAAGGTTAAGATATATTTTATACTGTTAACTGATCATCACGTAAAATTTAACACGTTTTATACTTTTCCAAATTCAACGAGAAGCTAACACATTTTGTGTTGTTAATAATCGGCCAAAAGAATCTAACACATTTCTTGTTGTTAATAGTTCTATAATAAGCTAACACATTTCTTGTAGTTAATAGTTAAAGGAGAAGCTAACAAATTTCGTATTGCTCTAGTTAAAAAAACAAGACATTAACACATTTCGCGTTGTTAACAGTTCAATAAGAAGAAACCAACACATTTCATGATGTTAACGCACAGCAAAGCGAAGCTAGCATATTTATTATAATAAATAGTTTAACAAAAAAAAGCTAACACATTTCTTGTTGTTAATAGTTCAACAAGAAGTTACCATATTTCTTGAAATTATGTATCATTCACAGTCCAGATAAATAAAGATACATTACTGACTTTTATAACAAAGGTTAAGTTGTAAAATCTTTACTGAAAATCTAGAAACTTGTACATGTAAAATATTAAACACAAAAAAAAGTTACCATTTAATAATAAACATTAAAATGTTACACACAGAAACAGTTATAATTTAATAAAATAACATTAAAATACTACACATAAAAAACAGCTATAATTTAATAATAAACATTAAAATCTTACCCACAAAAAATAGTTATCATTTAATAACGAACATTAAAATATTACACACAAAAAGAATTACCATTCAGTAATGATAAACATTAAAATATTACACACAAAAACAGTTATCATTTAATAATAAACAATAAGACATTATACACCAAAACAGATATCACTTGATAATAAACATTAAAATATTACACACAAAAACAGCTAACATTTAATAATAAACATTGGATTAGTACAATCAAAAAACAGTTATCATTTAATAATAAACATTAAGAACAATAATCGCTTTTGTTTGACACTGTTTTTTATTTGAACCATCGAAATAACATACTTAAACTTGAATTTCGATGACGAGGAACCCACTTTGAGACTAATAGTGGTTGGAGACGGCTTGAATGGGTAATGAAGAAAAACTTTAATATAAGATTAACATAACAACAAATGGACAAGGTTTTATCATCATCAGGTATATTAAAGTTTTTCTTTATTACCCATTCAAGCCGTCTCCAACCATTATTAAACTTAAACTTGGTTGTTTAAATTATTTCACTGTTGGAATTGTAGTTGGTTACATTTAATTATTGGCTTGCCAGTAAGTATAATTGATTGTATATTTTATAGTAGATTTTTCTCTAGATATTTTACTCTGTATGTTAATATATATATTAACAATCAGAAAGATACAAGACTAATCCAGGTTACCTTACGAAAACCGGAAAAGAATTAAAAATAGATTGTCGAGAGCCCACTCATGTCTCAGCTCACGATTATGATTACTTAAATGAAACACAAATTTTTAAAATGAATTTTATTCAGCTACTTTTTAAATAAAAGGAGCATTTGTGAAACACAAAATCTGAATAGTCTCTACTATTTAAACATAAGATTTTAAATTCAAGTAAATATGAGAACTCATTCGTGTGTCCCTCTAAAAATAGACGTCTGGCTGATCCTTTAATGTCTTGGTAAAATGTTTGTAGTTTTGACGTGCTTGATCATACTTAATTACTTGATGAAACGTCGAGTCTTACCTTGATGTCTATTGCTCATATTCGTTCCATGCTTTCAAGCAAAGCTGGCTAGATCTTGTGTGTATTTTAAATCCAATTTTAGTTTTCCCCTTTTGAACCATTATAGTGCATAGTAGTGATAATAATTACAAATTTTCTCAGTACAGTGTAGATATATGCTAGAATAGACTGTATAAGATATCCAAGTGCGTTGTTTCTAATTATCAAGTAAGAACTTATACGCCACGTAAGACGGTAGGCAACAAAAGTCAACATTTAACCTGATTTTTCAACAGCGTATGCGTTAATATTTTGGTCAATTATACATTGAGAAAGAAATAGAGAAAATTGGGCCAAAGCATAAAGGCCATAACAAGAGCAACAAAATGTTTTTACTGTGTTAAATAAAGATAACTGCTTTATGCTAGAAAACAAAAGTTAGTGGTTACTGTCGTCAATGTAGCGATAAGTTTAAGGGCATATAATACAATAATTCAGAGTTAGATTCCTATGATAAACACAGCGCAGACAGACCATCTTGCATTTGCGCTAAAAAAAGAGCAAACAAATCAATAATTGTGATACAATGGCCATAAGATGTCATTGGCCCCCCCAGTGGCACAGCGGTATGTCTGCGGACTTACAACGCTAGAAACCAGGTTTCGATACCCGTGGTGGACAGAGCCCAGATAGCCCATTGTGTAGCTTTGTGCTTAACTTCAAATGAACAAGATGTCATTGCAAGAGTTTTTCATGCATGAGAAGACAAATGTAACTTATAAGAACTATACACGTGGCTAAGCGCGTGATTTTAGCAGACTCAAGCCAGTTTCTAGTTTCAAAACAGGTTATATTGATGATTTTTTAAATCTACAAGAGGTTTTAACACTACGCACAATTTGCATCCTATTGATATATTGTATTGATACAGGTAAAAATTGATAATTTTGCAATTAACACGCTTGATGATATTGCGTAGTAGTTAATAGTTTTCATCAGTTTATTCTCCTCAAATTACATGCTTGAAATACAAAGAGAAATTCACATACATACACACACACACACACAAAATCAGAAACTAAACCACGTCTAACATTGGTTAACACTTGTTATAACTAGTGATTAATTTATCACGACTGTAAATCTGAGGATTCATGATTTGCATCATGTTGTTGCGAAAAGGAGCTCCACACAATGGAGCCGTAGGAGAATTATAAGAGTGAATGTAAAACCTCATTATCTGATCAGACAAGAGTAACCCAAGATCTGGCAGTGGGTATTGTTGGTTAGCTTTCTTCTGTCTAGTATTTAAGTTAACAATTATGAGTATGCGCAGATAACATTTTGTGTAGCTTTCGTGCAACAAATTGTAAAACAACAACAATCAATAATTTATATATATACTATTTATGATTGCTTTATTTTTCAGTTATCATTGCCATTGTAATCTGTACAAAACATTTACGCAAGGGTAATTGGAATTTGTAATGTTTTAGCTAAGATAAGACAAAACTTCTGTTATGGCCCAATGTTTATAATTCACCTAGTTGATTATAATGTAAATCAAGCATCTGATGATCTTCCTATAATTTGAAATACAACTGTTTGTTTATTAGGCCGATGTTTGTGAAGAACATTTGGTAGAGGTGAATTTACATCCCCACAGTTCATGACATTTCACTTCAAAATTTAATATTGTTACCACGAACAACAAGGGCAGCCTAATATTCAATGATCCATGCCTGAATAAGCGTGTTGATAAAGTCCTAAATTATGCTCGGTCACTCTTCTGAAGGAGCTGTTTCCAAGACATCTTTAGTGATTGGATACACTTGAAGGGACGCGACGTGCCTGTCATAAACATCCCATGTCCTCCTACAATCCTATAAACATCCCATATCCAATGAGTGTTAAAATCCACTCTAATCAGTCAGTAAATTTCTCTTTAAGGAAGGGCACTAGTCCATACAAGAGGCTGAAATCAGGGCCATTTACATGAGCACGTGGCAGTAAAAAGGGTTTTAAGGTGTGGTCCCTATAATGGTATCATTCTGGAGTGGTTCTCTGTAAACCATTGCTGTTTCCTGCTGACACCATATTGACACCAAAACCAAACGCACCATGTTCTTGTGTAAAGATGGAATTGGACCCCGATTCTTGATTCTCTCCAGAAGAGGATATATTTATTATCTGACTGCAGGTTGAAGTGCGATTCATATGCAAAAAAAAACATTTCTCTGAATATCGTTGGTCGCTGGATGTGTCCTTAACTCCATTGCAAGCAAGCCTTTTGGTGCCTTGCTGTAGAGGAATCCATCTCAATAAATATCTGGTAAACAAATCGTCCTTGGGAAGTTAGTTTTAATCTGCTTGTTCACTGATACGACGCCCAATTGTGGCTGCGAACATCTGATTTAGTCTTAAAGCAGATACGTTGTGAGTGGGGCGAGGAAGAATAGACATATAGCTTGTGTTCTGAATGAATTTACGCACTGTTCAAGAGTACGATCAACTTATCATTGGCTTGAAAACAGTTTCACATTTCGTTAGCGTC